TTTCAAACCATGCCCCTGCTGGTCCTTATTTTGTTCTCATTTACAGTGGTAGCAATCCAGAGTAACCTAACTGATTTCAACAGAGTGAAAGAGATCAGAATCAGGCCTTGTTTTTCTAACCTCCACTTGGATGAGAATCCAGCACCCTTTTTATAATACCTCAAGGACCTCAGTGTTCATTTAGAATGAAAATTTCCTGACTACGCCAACATATTACCACATTCATATTTAACCTGTGTTCAGCTTCTGGAATGCATATAGCTTAAAACATTTTTTAAACAATGTTTAATATAAAATACAAGTATTAAGTGGAATCTGTGCGTATGTAAAATGTGCTCTTGTTCTGAAAACTACACATCTCCTGGCATGACGCAAACTTACCACAGTGGAAAAACATATTCAAATCAGTACATATTGGGTTAAGAAGGGGTTGCTGTAGCAGTCTTTGAAAGCAAGCCAGGGAATATTCTAAATAGGGGACACACTGCATGTTTTAACTGCTGTGATAATTCTGCATAAAGAGATGTGAAGGATCCAGCTCCTTGCCGTAGCATGCCATGTATCGCTGAATAAAATTACTGCCATGCAGTCTGTTAGTGAAGGAATGCGTAAACAGGCAATGTAGCCTTGCATCAGTTCCACAAAATGTTGCACAACACAAATGCCTCTCGATGTGTCATTTCCTGCTTGGCCACCAGCCCAGCTCCTGACAGTCAGTCAAAAATAAAAAAAAATAAAAAAACCGAAAGAGATTTAAAGCTGTTCTACTCTAAAGCACATTCCACCAACCCCAGACTTACCCCTCCACCCCCTCCCCTTGGAAGAAAGGAGAGAGAACTTCCTAAAAGCTGTTATGGTTCTAAGTCTAAGAATCTCAAAAATCTCAATCACTGCTCTGCATTTTATAAGCCAGTCGGCCAAACAGTTAATACCCAGACTGACCAGCTCCTTTTGCTTGTCTTTTGTAGAGCACACAGACAAAAAGACAATGTTTGCTCATACCTTTCATCACGTGTGTACCTCACAGGCTTCGGCTGCAGATAATATTCTGCAAGTAAGTCTAATGAAAGCAGAGCTTTTTTTCCCCTATCAATTAATATATGCTGAAAGCAGGGGTGACGTTAGGGGGTAGCAAGCAGGGTAATTGCCCAGGGCTCCACGCCACAGGGGACCCCACGTGGCAGGCTCAGGCTTTGGCTTCAGCCTCCCATGGCAGGGTTCGGGCTTCAGCTTCAGAAAGGTTGCAGAAATCCAATGTGTGAGCAGGTAAGAGAGACGGAGTCAGGGCCTGCTCCTTAGTTTCTGCCCTGGGCCCCAGCAAGTCTAACCCCGTCCCTGGCTGAAAGCTCAAAATTTCACTTCCATTTGAGTGGATTACAAAATGTAGTCTATCAGTTTGGAGACTACATTTTATAAGGCCGGTACATTAAAGACAGGGGTGGTTACATAACAGGATATGTCAGGTATTTGAGAAGGCACAAATTTGTCCCCAAGATCCCTACCCCATCCACTCTCCAGATTCTATTACCTTGCATGCCATGCTCTGTCCTAATCCAACCCAAAGACTGAGCAGCAGTGTAGAACTCCCTGAACTGCATTCTGGCTAACACTGACTGAGTTAACTAGTCAAAAAACACCTCTTTCCTACAAAGAGACACAGGAAGAGGTTCACCTTTCCGCCATGTAAAAATGGGCAGCTTTTGCCAGTTCACTTTCTAGACTCAATCTAATAAGGCAACCTCGTCTTGAAATCGTCACGCCATCGTCTTGAAATATTTTAAAATAATAACAAAACAGAGCAAGGTGAGAGCAGCGAGCTTCTACAAGCAGATGTTTAATACAACTAAACAGAGCTAATATTAAGAGCTTGACTTTCCAAACGCTGAGCTTCCAAACTGAAGTCACCGGGTGCCATGAGTGTTCAGCACCTCCTCAGGTCGGGCTCTAAATGATTGCAATATCTGTCATGGTATTGCTGCTGCTGCTACTACTACTGGAAAACATACAGTGTTTGTTCTCTCGAATCAACTTGCCAACAGAAGGTCAAAGTGCCTTGCCTATAAACACGCCTTACAAATTCAGGATCTAAAGCATGAAGTCATGTTTTAAGATGATAAGCTGGCAACCCAAGTAAATGACATTCTGTAAAGATGTGCATAATTTTATGTTTACGCTACTTAGGATGAAGGTTCTAATAAGTCATCAGTTGTGTTCCTTTAAAGGGAAGTTTTATAACTGAGATGAATCACAACTGCAAAAGATCAAAGTTAAAAAACATCAATGATGCCATGGGGTACTTTTTAATCTTGTAATGAATGATGATCATGTGCTCTTATGAAGTTGGTCCAACTGCCAACGCCAGATGTGTATATTAAGAAAAGAAGTTGTTTGTGATGTGACAGCCTTGGTTTAGCCGCCAGAGAGAGGAAAAATAGAATAACATGCTTCAGACATTTGAGTGAAATGCAGGTCCTGGCAAAGAGGGGCACTGTTTGCTGATACACAACTCATTAAGAAAAATACATCTGCTCTTGGAGCCACTTGTTGAATAGAAGTCATTATTGCCCCCAACCACCTAGCTTTCCTCATGCAAGGCAGGTGCCAAAATTCATTACACTGATTAATGCAATTACTAAAGAGCAGAAATTAATGCAGGGATTCTCAGAAGAAAAGCACTTCAGTGAAGCTTCTACAGAAGAGTCCATTTTCCAGAGCCGCTCTCTCCCTAAAATTCACATCAATGACTCCCATTCAAAACAACTAGTCAGTCTCTAGCTATTATGATCCCATATCTTGTACATCAGTCCAAAACAACAGAGCTTGCACAAACCAACCAACTCTGAAGATGAGCATCATAAACCAGCCAAACAACATTCTAAACTTGAATTGGCCCTTCTTGGCCACGTCTGACTGACTGGAAACTACATACAAGTGGACTCCATCAAAACTACAGGAACTGATTTTCAGAGTTATCGAGCATCCACACTTAAGAATAGTAGATGCACATCACATCTGAAGATCTGTCCCAAAGAGACTAGAGTAAAAAATTCAAGTTGGTCTTAATAGGATTTCTAAGATATAAGAACATAGCCTGAGGTTTTTTTAATTGCTTATTGTGATGGTGCAGTCCCAGTCTAATTAGATTATTCCTCCCACAGTCTGTGCCATCCCTGTCTATTCAGATGCTACTCTCTATACACTCTTCGCTCTCCACCCCCAAGCCCACACTGTCTCCTCTGCTTGGAGATATCCAATTTCATGGATGCATCAACACATGGAAGCAGCCCCTAAATGGATTAGCCAAATTAATTCCTGATGTAACTAACTCCTTTGGCATTACACCAGGGACACATTTAGCCAGAAGTCTCCAAGCAGGTTAGACAGGGCCAGCAGTCACAGGTGAACACAGCATCTTTAGCAAGAACAGAAGAATTACCAAAAGAGAGTCAGACAAGACAAAACACTCTCTGCGATAGTAACCTGAAAGCAGAAAACCTCCAACAAGAGCAGGCAGCACCAGAGGCATCTATGGAATGAAATGCATCCATAAGAGCAGAGTTGCTTGACTGTTCTCACTTACTGATCAGGGGGAAATTATGCAGACAGGGCAGGTCTTATGTAAGGCAGAAGATATTTTAAACCGCTTCTCCCAATCTTAGGGGAAGGAGCTGCAAATTCAGCTGTATTGGCCTGGGAGCCACTTCACTTGGGTACAACTCTACCTACCTGTACCTTTGCGGTATTTTAAGTAAAACTCCCTATAAACCCTGAAAGGTCTAGTCTGAATTTGCTGATCAAAGACAAAACAATGAATTGAGATGCTTCCATTAGGAGATATTTTTAATGTGGCTATTCATCAAATAATCCTTAATCTCTACACATACTTTAAATACAACTAGACCTGGTTAATCCCAATCAATTTGGAAACACTGTTTCTAGCTAGATTAAGAAAAAATCTAGGACTGGCTCCTCAGTGATACCTGCACGATGCAAGATTGATTACCAGTTAAATCTGCCAGCCAACCAGATAAACCAAGATGGATTAACCAGGTCTGACTGTATCTATTAGTAGGAGCTATCTATAACAATTACTGGAACATGACCAAACACAACTGTCATAACAAGAAAGCCAGCAATTATTTCAAATAGATTTTTGATAATTAAGGCGTGTGCATGTTATAAGAGGTGAGTGAAAGTCTGTTTTTTTAATTAAACATTCTCTGTGCTTGGGAAATACACAAAGACAGCGCTGTCAACATGCTAGGGCTTTTATGGTTACTTATTTCGCTCCTTAGCTCCCAGGATCTGTGGTAAATACACAGTTGAAAATGGACGTTGTGCTAGGAAAATCCAATCTCAGGTGTGACATGATTAACCAGCGGTCATTGGGCCAGACGCATTAAGTGTATGATGGCAAAAGAAATCCTGAGCAAAGATGCATTTCCCCCCCATCAATTGGGACTGATCCTGCATGGCACTGAGCGTCTGCTAACTTCTGAGTCTCCTCAGTTTGAAGTTAATGGAATTTGAGGGCACTCAGCACCTTGCTGGATTGGGTCTATTGTCCCAAAATCAAATGATACACGGAAACAGTGGGCCTGATTCTCATTTGCACCAAGGCCCCTTTACACCATTCTGGCAGTATAAAGGGCCCTTAGTGTAAATAGGAATCAGGCCCACTGTTTCCAAATTTCCCTTATAATGCCAGAGTGGTGTAAAGGGGCCTTAGTGTACATGAAATAAGGCTCACTATTGCCCTAATTCAGAAGAATTTAAGCACATGCTTAATTTCAACCATATGAGTAGTCCCACTGAGTTCAATGGAACTGCTCACATACTTTAGAGTTAAGCAGGTGCTTAAGTATTTTGCTGAATGGGGATCTATGTTTCACAAAGAAATGTATTCCATCTATAAGACTCTATTAAACAAAATTAACATTTTACTTTTACAGACTCCCATCAGCAGATATTAGAGCATAAAGGGAGAACACAGTACTTACTTCTTGGCTCTCTTGGTCCATCCACTGTAACCTTTATAGCTCTGTGGTATGTAGCGACTTGCGGGGGGTTCGTAAGGACAGTTATTGTTAAGGTAAAACTCTTCCCTACAGAGAGAACAAAAATAACAAATGAGGAATGACTATAACATGAAAACAGCCATATGCATGGGCAGTAAAGAATAAAAGGCATTTACAATTCTTCCCAGTCATTTCCACAATCATGAAAATTAAAAACACAAACTAATCATACGAGTTTTCTTCCCCTTCAGTTATACTCTAATATCAGTAATACCATCCAAGTGTTGACAATTTAAGATTTCTTATTTAATATTAGATCGTGACACAATGATAAAACAAGAGTAATTCACTACTGAGGCAACAAGGAGTCTGGTGGCATCTTAAAGACTAACAGATTTATTTGGGCATAAGCTTTCGTGGGTAAAAACCTCACTTCTTCGGATGCATAGAGTGAAAGTTACAGATGCAGGCATTATATACTGACACATGGAGAGCAGGGAGTTACTTCGCAAGTGGAGAACCAGTGTTGACAGGGCCAATTCAATCAGGGTGGATGTAGTCCACTCCCAATAATGGATGAGGAGGTGTCAATTCCAGGAGAGGAAAAGCTGCTGCTGTAATGAGCCAGCCACTCCCAGTCCCTATTCAAACCCAGATTAATGGTGTTAAATTTGCAAATGAATTTTAGTTCTGCTGTTTCTCTTTGAAGTCTGTTTCTGAAGTTTTTTTGTTCAATGATAGTGACTTTTAAATCTGTAATAGAATGACCAGGGAGATTGAAGTACTGAGGATAAACCAAATTCTGCTCTCATTTACATCACTGTAAATCCAAAGCAACTCAGCTAAATAGAGTTATTTACATTTTACTGTGGGGTGACAGAGAGCAGAATTTGTTCCTAATGTTATTTACTTCACATTGTTTTGTCATTTTATTTGTTTGACTTCACTACAATAATATGAGGAAAAATATATATTCCTCATGGATGCCATTTAACATTTAGTGTGTCCATCCTTAATCTGCCTATCATGATATGATGCTATCTTCGTTATTGGAGCAGACGTTTTTCCTTACATATACTCCACCTATTAAATCTTTAAATATCTATCCACTGACTGTGAGAAATTGTTTTTGTATGTATAAAATATTTTCTATCACAAATCTGCATTTTAACTTTTCAGTGTTACATTTCATATAGACATTGTACACGATGACCTGCAGCCTTTGGCACAATGAAGAACTAAATAAATAAACCAAAAGACTGGATCTCAGCATACATTCTCCCAAGACACTGGCCTCTGTTCTGCAGACTCACTGACAGTTGTAATCAGTCAGATATGCAACGGTTAGTCACGTCAGATAGTCAAAACTGCAAACTCTTTCAAGACAGGAAAAGGTGGGCGTACAACAGTGACTCAATAAAACAGTCAGCAATCTCAGGCCTTATTGCTCATTTAAGCTGCTACTTTACCAGAATCTTAAAACCCCTTCTTTTTTTTTTTTTTTTTTTATCCAGTTTTTTTTTTCCCCCTCTCATTGAACTCTGAAGGCAGTCAATCAAAACACAAATCTTAAACAATATGTAAGAGCGCAAAACTTAATGCAATCAGTTCAAACCCTAACACAGAACAGGTCTTTGGCTGTCAAATCTAGTAACTGATTTTTCTTTTCAAGCCAAGTCATACACTTTCAAAACCTGCCTGAGACACACATCATTTACTATCAAGCGTACGACTTCAGACGATCTTGGCCATATTTTTCTAAGAGCAAGTGACAGAGAATGTTTCAAGAGAATAGAACTGTCATGTAGAGTAAAATAACTTTCCAGGTGGAACTGTGCTCCAGTTGTGCCCATTTCTCCAACAGACACAAGTGAGAGTGAAGTCTGTGAGTTCCAGGCTCTGGCAGGGGGGATGGAAAACCAAAAAGGTTAAATTCTGGTAGCAGGCAGCAACGAGAGCATGTGGAAGTAGTTGGCTGCCCTCATCCTCGCTACTCTAGAAAAAGGTAGAGAGAGACCCTTCTGCAGGTCTCTCAAAACTGACATTGCAGAGAAGAGTAACTATAGAGGAATAGTAGGAATTTAACCTATTGCTTACACAAAAATTCACCGGTGACATTTCACCCATTTGTACAGGGGTGGCTACAGCAGACATCTAAGGGAGCTTCCAAGTGCATCTACAGACAGAATTTGGTCCTACCATATTATGGTTTTATTAATATGTCAAATAGCCATAAAAGCCTGTCTAGATTAAAAAAAACAACACGATAAAGCACACTGCTTGTGACAGTTTGAAAATTCATTCTACAGCTAGACAAGTGCTGCAAGATTTTCTATCCCAAAAATATCTCTGCATAATACAATGGCCAAAAAATACACACTTCATATAAAGGGCTATATTTTGCCTTCTGCCAAGGCCTGTGCGCATGTCTAAATTATCATCCTGCCAAAGCCTAACTACGAGCAGTTGAGCACGTCTAATTTGAAAGGGGGAGAGTTTTCTTTTCCCTACTTGATATTCTTAGCTACACAGATGCAATAATGTATCAGCATTCAGGAAGTCTCAGCTAACCAATTCACTGCTTTTTGTAGGACAAGGGCCCAATCCTCAAGGTGCTGAGCACCCTCTACTTCCAGTGAAGCCTAAGGGGATTGAAGGCATTCGGCACCTTTTCAAGAGGTGCTCTACACATTATAGGATTGGGCCCAAAGTACATTTCATAGGATTATGTATTTGTGTGAACACTTACGCTTTCCACAGTTAGATTTAATTGATTTTCTGTATATCTTTCATCAGCTGCAAAATCTTTCTATGTACCTTTTTTTAATAGCTTTCTCTGTGCCCTTAAAAATGTAAACTATTTACTTCTGGTAGCTAATGAATAATTATAGTACTCTTTAATGAGCCTCACAGGGTAAGAAATTATTTGGCACTCTTGCTTGAATGTGTCCCCAAACTGTGCATTCTTTGTCATTAACACATGTGAGTGCAACTGACATAGTAATGGGCAAGCCTGACATATGTTGGAGCCTAAAGCTAACAAGAGAAATTAGCTTGGAAGCAGACTTGGCGACCTGTGGAGGTGTTGCATATTTTTTTCATCCAGATGCTAATGTGATTAATTCAAAATATCAAGACACAAAAAAATGAAGGGCCTGATCCAAAACCCATTGAAGATGGGAGTCAGGCCATTGACTCCAATGGACTTTGGATCAGGCCCCTAAGGATAAGTTACTGCCCTACACCCTCGCATAAGCAACTCCCATTGAGACTAATGGGACTTCTGCATACACATTTAGGACCCAGTGTTAGGATACTTGTATTTCCCCATCCAAAAGAGTGTTTGTGTTGCCATGGGATAGAAAATAAATAAACAAAACGGTGAAGTTGCAGGTAATCTCTTCTATTGGATAATATTCAAATGTGCAGACATCAGAGCATCCCCATGGGTCATGGGAAAGAAGGGAAACGGAGAGAAGGTAAAGAGGTAGGTTGATGATTCAGACTTGACGATTACATTTAGAGATACAAAGATCAAAGGGGGAGCTATTTTGAAAGATGTAAACTTAAAGTCAGAAACAGGTGTGGATTAGTTTCTTGCCTCTGAAAAATGACTTCTTTGCTTTTTTATTTTTCCTATCCAACTTCATGCAGCCACCAACATTCTTCTCTGCTCTATGTGTAGCTTTCTCACGTTTGTTTGCTACTACTGTTTGCTTTCCTGCTATTTTAAGTGGTGTTATAAAAATCTATCATTAATGATACCTCTCTCTCTCTGTTCTGTCTAAGTCTGGAAGACAAGTCTGGACCAATTTCTCCATCCTGCCTCTGGCAGCAGAATGTGGCATTTCAGATCTTCCACCAAGTCCCGGCTGCTTCAAAGGAAAATCCCTACTTTCTTCCGTTAAGATCATAAGAAATATAGGGGGAGGGGGTCAGCTCTGTTTGGACATAATTACACTTCATCAAAAGAAGCTTTCTTCATCTTCCATGCGTGAAAAGTCTGCAAGCAGTTAAGTCTGTCTTTTTTCTTTCTTTTTTTTTAAATATAAAAATTGCTATTTGGGAAACTAGCCAAAACTCAGAAAGCCAATATAGTAAAAGAGTGCACACCCTTTGTTTTTCTTTGAAGTTTCTTAAATAAATATGTTGAGAGTTTGTAAAGTACACTATCACTTTTCCATAGATTTTACCCAGATTGATCAGAGAAAACTTCTTAACCAAAGACTGAAGAACACAAAAGATAAATGAAACTACTTTGGCCAAATATGAAAAGTGTTTATATATATATAATTAAAATTAAAATATGTGTGCATATGTATATAGTGCCAGATCCTTTAGATACTCTACTTCATTTCCTATGTTTTAATAAAAAAGTATATTTCATAGGTTTCAAATGAGATTCAGAGCACACAGGTAGTACATCATATGTCAGTTCTTTTTCAACACTTGTTATGGGATATAACTACTGTACTTTTATTGTAAGGCTGCACTGGTGGTGGAGCCAGAGAACCTTCAAATTTAATCCATCAATGGAAAGACAAAAGCAGACAGTAACTTTTTTTTTTTTAAAGGAAGTAAGATAAATGGAAGAGAAGAAGAACACCTTATCCTAGAGGGTAGTGAACTCCATTTTTATATCATATTACCTTTGCAGTAGAGTGGTCCTTTATTATACATAATTTTAAAAAACTTAAAAGCTAAAAAGTACACATTATTGGCCACATTCCTAAAATAAAATCTACTCACTGGAAACAGTCCATATTGAATCATTTTTATCAAACACTTATAATTGTAACAATGTGCCATCTGATGTGAACTATAGAGGCAGTTGTCAGAGGTTTGACTTTCTCTGATAAACGATCGCTCTGTCAAAGCTGGATTGCAACTCCTCTACATAGGGTATTATTATAAAATTAGCATTTTTGTTAAATGTGTGTGACCTTTTTTTTCCCTGGATGACTTTTTAAAAACTAAATATTACATGAAATATACAAAAAATATTTAGGCTGAATCAGTGGCCTGATATAGCAAACCCCTCTGAGGATTCCTTCAGTAAAAACTGACAAGTTAGTTTCCTTCAAGCAGGGCTGGCTCTAGGCACCAGCTTACCAAGCAGGTGCTTGGGGCGGCCACTTCGGAGGGGGGCGGCACGTCCAGCTGTTCAGCGGCAATTCGGCAGACGGTCCCTCACTCCTGCTCGGAGCAAAGGACCTCCCGCTGAATTGCCACCGCAGATCGCGATCGCGGCTTTTTTGTTTGTTTGTTTGTTTGGCTGCTTGGGGCGGCCAAAACCCTGGAGCCGGCCCTGCCTTCAAGACATCCTTTCAGTCATTAACTCAAATTTTAAAGCAGCTGCAAGAATTTTAAAAGGAAATTCTTTTCAATCTTTGCCTTGGTTATAAAAGCTTCTTATGACTGGAGTATAGATTTCAGATTAGAGGAAGCTCTTAAGCAGCAAAGAGACAACTTCAGGGCTCTAAATCTTTAGGAAACTAGAAAGTTATAATCTCTGCCATTCTGTTGTAAGCAATGTATATTAGAGGTTAAATTTCATTCAAACCAAAAGCCTACAACCAAGGTTAATAAAGTTAAGCAAGCTACGGACAGGGAACATAAGATTGCATGTTGCTGCACATGTGGAGCCTGATTCAAAGCATGCTGAAGTCAATGGAAGGCCCTATGGGATTAGGCCCATAAAGTGTCTGGCCTATAGCTAAGGCCCTACCAAATTCACGACCATGAAAAACGTGTCATGGACCGTGAAATCTGGTCTCCCTCTGTGAAATCTGCTCTTTTGTGTGCTTTTACTCTACACTATACAGATTTCATGGCGGAGATTAGTGTTTCTCAAATTGGGGGTCCTGACCCAAAAGGGAGTTGCAGGGGGGTCGCAAGGCTATTGGGGGGGGGCATGGAATTGCTATCCTTACTTGTGTGCTGCCTTCAGCGCTGGATGGCCAGAGAGCAATGGCTGCTGATTGAGGGCCTGGCTCTGCAGACAGCAGTGCAGAAGTAAGGGTGGCAATATCATACCATGCCAACCCTACTTCTGCGCTGCTGCTGACTGCGGCTCTGCCTTCAGAACTGGATTCCTGGCCAGCAGCTGCCACTCTCCAGCTGCCCAACTCTGAAGGCAGCGCCACCACCAGCAGCAGCGCAGAAGTAAGGGCAGCCATACCGCAACCCCCACACACAATAACCTTGCGAGCCCCCCATACACACAACTCCTTTTTGGGTCAAGACCCCTACAATTACAACAGCTGACATTTCAGATTTAAATAGCTGGAATCATGAAATTTATGATTTTTTAAATCCTATGACAATGAAATTGACCAAAATGGACTGTGAATTTGGTAGGGCCCTACCGATAGCACATGTAAGATGCAAAGAACATAACGATAGCTCTTCCTGCTACCAGTTAAGAGGCTGCTTTACTGCTACAGGAGCACATGCATTTTTCTTCTCTCATTACCATGGCCTGAAATCTGTTGTGTGACTTCATGTAACTCAGAACATGAAACTCTTCACTTCATTCTCCCCTCCCAATATGAGTAAAATATAGAACCAGGGCAGTAAATATTTTTTTTCAAAATTCAGATGTCATAAAAACAAGCAAAAAATGTCAGGAGTCAGAAAAACCTGGCAAGGTGCAAAGACAACAAACTCAGTCTGGACAAATGCTGAAGTTTGTGAATAAAACCTGCATTTATCCTTGTAAATGAAAGGCTGATGGGGATTTATTTACAGACTAATCAGTATTTCATTGTGGAATCAGTTTGACTTCTCGACTGCATTTGTTATTCATTATAAAAATATAAAATGTAACAGCGTACCTCTTCCACTCCTGCCCACAAATCTTAGGTCATTAAACCTGGCCACTTGGTTCTTCATCACAGCAGAGGCGTTCCTCAGCTCTGCAGAATAGTTTTCATCATTTCCAGCCATGACGGTGACCACGGTCCCATCAGGTACTTCTCCTAAAGCCACCACCTGTGACAATGGGGAGACAGCAATAATTCTTGAAATTAGGTTTGAAAATGTTTGTCTTTGTTGCAGTTTACACATCTGCACCTTCGGTATTAAGCTCTGCGGTGGTTGTTGCTGTCAACTGTGGTCAATAGTCATAAGCCAGCTGAGTAAGCAATAAATCGTTACATCAAACAGAAAAACATCTCATAATGTCTCGCTTTCTCATAGTCTAATAGAGGGTCCTTCGTTGTTGTACCTATTCAGAAATGTTCAGTATCTTTATGGGGAGTATATGGTTTAATAAATCCTCAAAGCCAACTTTGTTCTTTGCAGCTCGTGTGCAGTGGGAAAACATGAAATATGGCTCATATCCATAAATCATACATGAGAATGCATTTGAAATGGAAAGTTGGATATTATTATCAGCAGCCATTTCGCTCTGCAATTCTGTTCTATTTAAACTCTTAGACTGGCTCCCATCACGGTAGTATCTGAGCACTTGATCATGTCAGATTTCACCAGAGAAACTGGGTTAGGCCTAAAGAGTTGGAGGGGAGACCTCCAAATAACATCTAGCTGCAGCGGGGAGTAGTGCTGGGGCTTCAATAAATGGCACACCTCCTTTGGAAGAGTTCTCCAACATTCTGTTATGGAGCGTTGTGTTGCTGGAACTGACATCTTTCAGATACAACATAAAACCAAGAGCCTATCCACTTATAGCTGTTAAAGATCTTGTAGCACTTGTCTCAAGAGTAGGGTGTGGTTAACTCTGGTGTATTGTTCTAATTCTAACTTGGGTGACAACACTATACCAACATAATATGACCTTGTATTTCAAATATATATGATATTCTCACTTCTTGTCCTACAGATTGTGTACTGCTGGAGTAGGCTATTAAACAGATACTGAATTTCAGTGCAGCCAGAAGTGAGAACAGATTATTATATTCTGTTCTGAAAATGCTTTGGGATATAAAATAGTATTTTTATATTTAAATTAGAACATGAGCACTGATTCACTATGAAAGTTCATTTCAACGTTACTTCAGATAGGATGCAATGATTCTCCACAACAGTACTAAGCAAATAATTTTCCTATGCCCTTTACTGTAACATCACTAACACCAAATATAAATGTGTAACAAATAGAGTCACAAATTTTGTACATGAGAGTTTTAAAACTTTTTATAAAAATACTTGGCCTGAGACATTCTAGCTTATGATTCTACTGAACCCTGTCCCTTTACAATTACTACCGTTTGATGGTCAGATATTATTTTTTTATTATTCAGACTACAAAACCAGGTGATGATCAACTCTTTTTTTCAGAAATACACTCTATGATATTTTGTAATCAATTCAACTTTAAATGTCTTTCCCAAATATGATCATGTCTGAAACTAATAAGTTCAGGTCAAATCATACCATCAATTAAGTAGAAATAATTAACAGCTCTGAATAAATATGGACGGCATGATATAACCCTGTGTGCTGAACAGCAACAAAAATAGTGTCAAATGTATACCAAATTTGAAATATACATTAATTGATAGATTCCATTACTAAAAATTATTGCTCTGATGATCTGAATCAGAGCAAGCATGTAGCAAAGCTGATGTACTGCATATGATGGATTAAACTGATGCTTGTATAATTTTCCAAAGACCACCTAACACACAAAGGGAGTGTTGCCACTAACTTCGGTGAAGCAGGACTTCACCCCCAAAATTACTGTAAAGTGATTTTAATGTCACTGACCACAAGAACATAGGAACTGACATATTGAATAAGGCCCATGGTCCATCTAGCCCGGAGGTTCTCAAACTTTTGTACTGGTGCCCCCGTCACATAACAAGCCTCAGAGTGTGACACACACACACCCATCAATTAAAAACCCTTTTTAATGTATTTAACACCATTATAAATGTTGGAGGCAAAGCGGGGTTTGGGATGGAGGCTAACAGCTCGCGACCCCCCATGTAATAATCTCACAACCCCCTGAGGGATCCCAACCCCCAGTTTGAGAACCCCTGATCTAGCCCAATATCTTGTCTCTCACAGCTGCCAGAACCAGATACGTCAGAGCAAGGTGCTAGAAACCCCACAATAGCCAGATGTGGGATAATCTGCCCGCCTACCCTCTACTAGTCAGAGTTTGGTTTAAACCGTGAAGCATGAGGTTTCATATCACTTCTAAAAAAAAATTAAGTTTTGAGTTTTGACTATTACAACTCTGGATATTCTTGTTATCCATATACATGTCCAATGTGAGTTACAAAAAACTTCAACACATTACATCCAGAAAAGCAAAAGAAAGTCAGAGCAGAGAAGGAAGTGCAAGTCTGTCAAGGGGCCTCAAGTAGAGGGAGTGAAATTACTCTGTCCTCAACTCACCTCCTTGTGTCTATGTATTATGCAGCAGATCAAATATTGGGTAAGACTGATCACAATCTGTCTTGAACCCTCGTAATAATGAATAATATAGATTGCTATCTGGACACAATGGAATGAGCATGAGTAAGATAAAATACTCTTTGAAGGCCCTTCTATCTTGACCCCTCAACGTCTTCATTTTCAGTGGGTTTCAGTCTGATCCGTAAGTGGGGGGTTTTAAAAAAAAAATGTTGTCTATTTAAGTTCAATTTGTCATTTTAAACAGCAGTACAATTTGTGTACGACACTTCTTGAGTCATAGTGCTAGCATGCTGCTCATACCTAATATGCACCGACATTATTCTTAATGTACAGCATCCTTTGACACACTGTTATGTAATGTCACTGAATATTATTCTTACTGAGAACAGACACACGGAGCTCTGGGTGCAAACATGAAACTTTGTCTAATAAAACAAAGTTCCATCATACTGCACAAAATATTTCTCTACTACCGAGTAAGAATAATACATTTACCACTGCCATTTTACATTTTTTGTAATGAAATATTAATAGGCTATGGCACATATGTAATGTCACTGTTCTGGCCCATAGCTTTACAAAAAAGTCAGAACGTTAGAAAAATACATATTATTTATCCACTTTTTAAATTAAGAATAACTTTATGTATTGAAAGACTTTTTGTGTAAAGAAGTGAACTTGAGTTGGCAGTTTTTATGCCACGTATCAACCTAAATGATTTAAAATATCTTAGACAGAAAATCAAGGATTATAATGCATTGCAAAAAAGAAGGCAGTAGTACTTATCATTAAACATAAATATCTAAGAGTAGCTACTCTCTGAGCTATTTAGCTATTTTTCAAAGATTAATATCTCAGCCATTTAAAAATATTTATTTTCAAAAAGGCACCAATCCATACTAAAATACCTATAAATTCTGATGACTAAAAATTAAGCATTTGGGGTTTTTTTTTTAGCTAGGTCTCAGCAAAAAGGCACATGGAACCACAAAACACAAATCTTAGAATTTGAAAATGACTTTATCAATGCATGTACTTTTTCGAATAACAATTCATGTCTGGTCTGGCAACCTGTTTGCCAGTTTCAGTCCCATGGGATTTGAAATGGCCAAGGTATGTACACTGAAGACTGACGTTATAAATGTGAAGCAAAAATACTACACAATAATATTATGTAGTAAGACTCTTTACATAGTAAAAAGATTGTTTCCAGAAAGAGCTCGTGTACATGATATTAGCTGTTTTCAAACACTACTATCTCTATCATTTCAATACCTTTGCTTGTAAAAATACTAAAAGACATTATTCGCATAAAGGGCTCCCAGAATGTAAAACCTCCTATATTACAAATAATGTCTTTTCTTGCCTAGAGTTTGCCAAAAGAGCATCTGAAGCTATTAAAAATATTTTAATGGTCTATAACTTAAAACAGAATAACTGATTTGCACTACTTTTTGTTTAAAAAAATACATCTGGACTGACAATTTATACACCAAGTTCAGCTTGAAGCTATTTAAAACAGCTGAGTTATAAACTCTGGAAACTGGGGGTTAGAGTGAAACGCTGACAGACCCTTAACTACTGGTGCTACTGGATATAGCTTGAATACTGTACATTGATTTTTTCTTGATTGTTGTTATCTTATGTCAACTAATGCTTTTTGCTACTATCAGCTTCTTGCAGGACAACAAAGAACATACAAGCCTGGTGTAATAATTCTGTCTTTGCGTGTCTCAGTAAGATGCTACTGAAAGAATTGTCAACTGAGGGACAAATCCTGTTATCCCAACTCAAGTAAGTAGGCCCATTGACTACTATGGAACTACTTGTGAATAACGTGAACATGATATAGCCCCAGTCCCATTGTCTCAATTTCCTTTATATCTTAGCCACCTGAACATTATTAAGCAGTTACAAAGCTATGTTAATAAGTGCATTGTTAGCATTCTTCACTATAAAAATAGTTTGCACTAACTTAGTCTTACTACTCAGTATATTAAACAAGAACTCCCTTCACAGCTCATGTAAATATTAATACTCCAATTCAAGTATCTTACTAGCCAACATGATTTTAAAAAATTATAATCAAAACTATCACTGTTTATAACATACTTCCTTTCCTACAATTGATTTATATCTGGTTTTTTTAAATTAAAACAGTGGTATGTCCAAAGCACTTTTTAACTAGAGAATCCTATAATAGAATTATGATATACTTAACACACCATTCAAAATATTATCATCAACATATTATTTATTGCCAATAAAACTTCAGTTGCCAATTTTTAAAAAGCATGCTGTATGTGAGCTAGTTACGGTACATCCCAGATCTCTCTCTATATATTTTGATTAAAGATAACTGCTACTGTATTACATTAAGTTATAGTGATTTTTTTGTTATATATGCATTTGGATTATTTCATCTTGAAATTGTGCAGAGTTACATATCATTTCAATTTATACAGTGAAAAGAAAACTGATGAAATATGTGTTCAAGATAATTGTTAAGTAAATGTAATTAGGATTTACAGTACAGTTTTTCAGTAGTAAATAAAGGTAATACATACAGAATGTACACATAATGCATGCACATATATTCTCTGTGTAAAAATACAGATGTATGTAAATGTGCACATGCTTTATAGCTGAGTGGTGGTGTAAGTGGTCAAAGAACTGCTCGTAGTCAATTTAATATCCCTGACACCTCAATAAACCAGATAAATCTATGCAGGTCTGTCAATAGGTACCTGTATGGCCTTTATTACTGTAGTATTTGAATATTGTGCATACTGAATACTTCATCCAATTTAGCTAGTGTGTGCTTAAATATATATAGACAGAGAGGGACTGGGAAATGCTCTAAACACATCTGTCCTTTTATCAGGTTTAAATGTGCTTTTTTGTAACCATATCTTGTGTCATATTAGGTTCATATTTTTCTCCTAAACTTTTTAATCCAGCAGATGTGATAGTATCCTTTAAAGGTAAGTAAATAAGAAAAAGTAGAAGAAGATGATGCCTGACATTTCAAAAGAAGCCAGAGACAGCTATAACTGCAATGTGTAATGTTTACTTCTGTGAACTATAACTTTAATACTAATCTAATCTAATCTAATCTAACAGTGATCAAAATTACAATCAAAGTTACCTGAAATCTCCTCCTCCTTACCCCCAACCATCAGTGCCCTCTGAATAAGACTTGCTCAGGAAAAATGATCAACACCTGATATTTGCCATGGCCCTTTAATGCTTGGCAAAGTTACAGAAATAGAAGATTTTCTAATGGCTCTGTTTAGCCTGTTCTCTGCAATCTCTAACAAGTGGGGCCCACAAAGACTACTAATCATTTAACTCTAAGGCAGACCGAGTTCTTCCACAATCTTTCCCTGTCATATATGTGAGCTTCAGACAAATGTAGTCTGTTTCTCTGTCTGATATTAAAGCAAGCCATTCAATCTCCATGTCAGCTTTACATACACTTATTTTAACGTCAGTTTCCTTTACTGATGCTTAGATTTTTCACTTACAAATATATCCCCCTTCGTAATGATTACATCTCTATCGGTCAGGAACTACAGCACTCTTAGATAGTTATACTTTGTTCTAGAAGATACTGATTTCAAACTCTTCTGCTTTTCAATGATTTTCAGGCAGGGTAACTATATTTTGCCAGGGATGCTGCAATAGCAGGAGGTTGGAGGGGTTTCGATTTTACACAGCCAGTAAAATCCAAAATTGCAAAGTTTAGATCAGCTAATTCCGGTGCTGGGTTTTGGACTGACTCAGGTGCTGATGGACAGGCACAGGTGCCTTGGGACAGCCGAGTTACTACTCATTTCACCACTGAAGGAATTGAAAGAAATCTGCAGCGGAAAGTTTGGTGGGAGGGTAAAGGCTTGCTTAAAAGCAAGCACACAAACAACCACACAATAATCCTTTCTTAACATTAGCGGAGTGTGCGGATGTCGACTGAAAATGAAAAGCAACATTCCCGATTTAGATCTGGGTGGTATTTATTATCTAAATAGCGTATGATGTTACTGATAACTTATGCACTGTCCCCTGCCAAAGTGAACGTCTTCTGGACAGACACTTCCTAACTTGTCCAGCAGGAGAAGTGAAGGGGCACCATCTCCCATTGGGAGGGCAAGAGCTCTGTCCTCTCTCCCCACTCTTAGCCCCTTTGTAGATCCCAGTTTTAAAATCGGGATAATTTTTCTACCCCTAGCTTAGGAGGATCTGTTCTCCAGAAGCAGCTGTAAAACAGTGTAACTCCGGGAGGCAGCAACACCTCCCCCTACCTCTTCACACAGCGAAATACAAATAGCTTGACGCTTCGCAAAAAGTAAGTTCAACCTGACACCTAGAGAGACACACCCAAGTGAAAAAGAGAAAAAAAGTTCCATCAGGGACGTGGGTCCTTCTCCTGGTGTCCTTCCTAAATCAACAGCAGGGCACGCACACACAACACCATCAAACCCTGCTTCATACCCGTGAATACATCAATTAACATGCCTTTAGAAATTGTGAAAGGAAGGGGGCAGACCTTTGGTGCTGAAACAGAGGAGAGGGAACATTTGGAGGAAGCTCAAAGACACCCCTTCTCCTCTCCCCTTTCTTATAACTCTATACATTGCTTTGGGGATGGGTAAATCCCCGCACCTACTTGAAAAATATTCTGCATCCAGTCCCCCTGTTACTTAGAGGTTGCACTGCTCATGTGGTTAGGGGGTGCACGGAGTTAGAAGGTGCATTGTTCTGGTAGGCAGTATACGGTGGAGTGAGGCGTTAGCTGCCTTGCCCTGGTAGTTTTGGGGTGTCTGGGATGTCAATGGAGAAGCGGGTTCAGTGGGTGCTAAGGAGTGTATGACTGTTGTGGGGGGCATTAATGGAGAGGCATTGTGGGTGGTTAGGAGATGGTGGTGTGAATGGAGGATAGTTAAATGATGCCTGCGGTGGTTGAGAGTGTACGCTTGCTAATGGGAGGCGTCAGCCTGTGCATTGCCTGGTGGTTGGGGGTGCCCGGTCGTTATAGGGGGTGGGTAGTTAGTTGCTGCACTGCCTTGTGGCGAGGGCGTGTGTGGTTGTTAAATGAGAATTAAGGATTCCTTTTTCCTTGTGGCTAGGGGTGTACTGCTAGCAAGGGGGGGGCTGCTCGAAGGGAGGTGGCCCTGCGGGTCAGGGGTCTATGCAGTGCCCAGTGGAATGAGAGGATGCAGTGCCCATTGCCCTGGTGCCTAAGGGGCACGGTTGTTTGTGAGGGACTCCTAAGGGGTGCACAGTCGTTGTGGGGGCACATGGGTGTTAAAGGGGGCCGAGAGAGGACACACAGCCCTTGCTGCAGGGGGTGTATAACTGTTCACGGGAGGGGGGGAGCGGCAGGCTCGCCTGGCCCTGGTCGCTAGCGGAGGAGGCTGCAGGGCACACCGAGCGTGTGTGTGTGTTGGTGGGGGGGGGGTCTTACCTTGAATGCCACCGGGAGGGTCTTGTTGCAGCGCCAGTGCGAGGGCAGCACGGAGCACAGGAAGTTCGGGCTGTCGGTCCGGACCAGCTCGGCGGGGTGATCGGCGATGATCTCCACCATGGTGCGGTTATCGTGGGGGCGCAGCCTGGGCACGGCCGCCGCCGCCTCTTGCTGCTGCTGCTGCTGCTGGGCTGCCACTACCGGGCTCACTTCGCTCATCTTGCCGGGCTGCAGGCTGCTGGAGGGGGGGCTGAACCTCCGGCTGGTGCTGGGATCTACGGGAATACGCATCACAACAGCCACAAGTTAGCGAGCTGAGGGGGCGGTGGGGGGGTCACTGGAGGAGGCGTGTAGTGGGGGGGTGAAAAAAGGGGTGAATGGAGAAGTGGAGGGGAGAGGACGGGGAGGAAAGCGCAGGAGCGGGTTAAATGCAGGAGGGGGGGAAATCACAGCTAAAAAAAGGGGGTGATGTGGCTGATTTGGGGGCGAGTCTGCAGCCTGGAGGAATGGGGGGCACAGTGTCTGGCTGTGGGATCCTAGGGCTGCCCCCCTCTTAGCAAAGCCCAGCTGGAAACTGCATGGTCCCGGGTGCTGCAAACAGAGCTTCTCCTGCTTCCTTCCTTGTTCAGTCTCTCTTGCTCTTTTCCCTTCCCTCCTTCCAGCCACCGCGTCTTCCCTCAAGGGCTCGGGGTTTCCTTCTTTTCTGTCTTTCCTTTTGTCTTTCCTCTTCTCCTTTTGGATTTTTAAAGGTTGCCCGGGAGAGGTAAAGCCGCTGCTGATTTCAGCTCCCTGGGTTGTTGCTGTTTGCAGGAGAAGCAGCAGCGAGAAGAGGAGGGTAGGTTTCAGCTACTGAGAGGGGGTGCTAAGGGGAATGTCCCGTTTTCCTCCAAGGAAGTCTTCCCCCTCCACAAAAAAATCTTGATCGGAGAAAGTTTAGATGCCAAGTGACTTCTCGGCTTTTCCGATTATTAGTTTTTGCTTCAGGAGGGAGAGGGGGCTGGGGTGGGGGGTAAAAAGTTTTGAAAAGTGTCTCTGCAAAGCTGTTTCCCTTCCCCCAAAGCTACTTCAGCACAAACAAGAAAGTTCTCGGGGTTTTAGCCAGAAAAAAAAAACGTAGTCAAAATACTAATAATTAAAAGAGAAACATTAGGAGGCTGCGTAAGGACGAGCAGGGCTTTTTTAAAAAGTTCAGACTTCCGACTCCCGGAAAAATAAGAGGGAAGAATAGACAGAAGCAGTTGTCAGGCTGTTTTCTAAAATACGCTCAAGTAACTTGTTGGAAAAGGGAGCTTTGGTGCACTCCGGTTCCTTGTAATTAAGTCGCGGCTATGTCCTAGTCCGTTCAGTCGAATAGACCAACAAAAATCTTTATTTTTCTTCCCTTGATTAATAACAACAACAAAAAAGCTACTTAATTTTTTTCTGAAAAACTGGTTTTAAAAAACTTCTTTTGGGTCCCAAAAGTTGAGGTCGGGGAGGATGAAGGAGCCGGGGGGAAAAAAAAGCCTCCGTTGTTGGGGTTTTTTTTTTTGGTCCTAAATGTGGTTTTTTGGAGGCTGGGATTTCTAATGATTAGGGTTTTGTGGTTTATATATACAGGACTCTCTGGCTACGGCGATCGTTATGCTGATGAGAGTCAGCAGCACGTGGTGTCTCAACCCCGTCCTCATACTTCTGCAGCCTTCAAAATAAATAAAACAATGTGCATCCCCCACAGAAGAAGGAGCTTTGCTTTCAGGCGATCTCCCCCACCCGGGGACAGGACTAGAGGGAATGACAGGACTGTCTCCGATCTGTACTTCTCTCCGGGTTTTTCCATTAACACATTTTTTGTTTGTTTTGAAAAAAGCCTGGACTATCTGGTTTGCCAACTAATAATACTTAATAATTTGGTGCCAAAGGGTTTTTTTGTTGTTGTTGCTAAGACCCTGTCAGTCTAAAGCCTAAAACATTTCCTTGAATAAATGAAAGCTAGAAAACCCGCCCTTCAGACTATTAAGGTAAAGAGAGTCTGGTTTGTTTTCGCCCTTAAAAAAAAAGGCAGATCTTATTAAAAACAATTTACATACCCAATAGTAAAAAAGTGTCAACGCCTCCCAGAGCAGATAACAACCTATCAAAACTCTCCCTCGAACTTACTTCGAGGTGCCACTTCCACCTTCTTGTACAAAGTAAGCGCTGTGGGTGGGGGGGTTAGCTGCGCGAAGTGCCGGTGTGGTTTGGGGTGATGGGAGGGGGGCTCCGCTTATGGTGCCTTTATGCAGCTTTTTCGCACACAATTCTGGGAGCATTTTCAGCACCATAAAACAAGTCTTTGGCCTTCCCCCGACGCTTTCCCCCCTTCCCCATGAAAAAACCTGCGTGTACCCAGGTAAATGATCCGAAAGCACACGTCTTAGAGACCCAGACCACAACACTCTCCTCTCTGCGCTTTATTCCAGCTGTAGCTTCTGCTGCCGGCGTGTTTTCACAATAGGGTCTGTGTCAACTTTCGAAACCAACCCGCAGTGCTACACATAGCGCATACATAAAATGATCCTCTCTGACGATTAACACAAGATTGAGTTATTCCCCACTACAACCACCGTCGCCTGTTATCTGACAAACATTAAAAAGGAAGGTGAAACTTCCGGAGCTTTGGTCTTTATTTATTTACTTACTTGCAATTAAAATGTTCAAAAGGATCTTTTTTTCGGTCACATGGGAGAGCTCTCGCTCTGTATACCGCTAAATGTGGTTGGCAACTCTGTGCTCTTGTCTGCAATAGCACACGTCCTTGAAGGAAATGCAGCGGATGACATGTATTTGTTTATTATTTTCATTCTACCTCTTTTTTCCATGGTTAATATGTTTGATAATAACCCCTGATCACCCGGGACGATCTTAGGTTTTTTTCTCTGTATACTTGTCAAATACGAAGTGGTGGTGATGGGGAGTTTACTATTCCTACGTGGACATATAAGTATGATGAATAAGTGCTCCCATACTTACCAACAAAACGGGCAAGATCCTGTCCAAAAGGAGAAGTGTGCACAGTGCCCCGAAATGGGGAATTTAACACAATCTGCAAGGAGCTGAGTAATTTAAAGGTTTTCAGAGCTCAAATAGAGTTGCAATACAGTCAAATATTTTAAAATAGTTATTTTTGGTACTATGTTTATTATTGTGCTTTTTAACACCTTCCTTTTAGATGAGGGATAACATTTTCCATTAGGTAGAGGGTACAGGTGTTGGGCAGAAAAGAAAAAGTTAACAGGAACCGTATGTTTCCAAGTACAGAATTAATTTGACAGTAGTTATTTCAGTATTTTTTTAAAATAAGAAGATACATTTCCTCTTTTAATTAGTCACATCAGTATTTTTGCAGTTGCCTCCCTCCATACTAAAATTTAAAAAGTTAGTTAGGATAAATCAAAAGAAGTTATAGGAAGTAACCAGTGTAAGGTCACTTAAAATAGTCTATAGTTAGTTATAATTTTTCCACTGACCACCCTAACAAAGTTTCAGGTACCTGGCACAGCTGATTTTTAGTCTCCTTGCAAAAATGTCTTTCTGCTTAACTTTTACACATTTAACTGGAACTTGCTAAAGCCTGGAACAGATCACAACTCAGAGCACTAGAATTTTATTGAAATTGTTATGGACACCTTAATAAAACTACCCATAATGTTTATGGACCAGCATAAAGGCTGTCTGGGATTCTTTTTATATGTCCTTTATGCTATGGTCTGAATTATATGAAACTTTGGCTTGGATTTGGCTGAAAGACACTTGGGCAGTGGTTCTCAAACTTTTGTACTGGTGACCCCTTTCACACAGCAAGTCTATGAGTGCGACCCCCCCCCCTTAGAAATTAAAAACACATTTTTTAATATTTAACTCTATTATAAATGCTGGACATGAAACGGGGCTTGGGGGTGGAGGCTGACAGCTCGCGACCCCCCATGTAATAACCTCATGACCCCCTGAGGGGTCACGACCCCCAGTTTGAGAACCCCTGCACTTGGGGCAACCCTACCCTCCAGCTTTCTTCCGCTTCCACTTCAGAAGGGCTCATAATTTTAGCATAGGTTGAAAAGTGGATCACATTTTAAGAGGTTAGAGAGCCATAGGAGTTTAGAGAAAAAATGTTTTTTTAAAAGATTATGTATTAAAAAAACCTCCAGACCCACTTTATAAAATAAGATTTTAATGAGTGCATCTGTGATTGCTGCAAAAGCAACTTTGATGGTCTTTTAGCTCTTTTACTTTTAACTGTGTTACAAATACAGCTGTACTATATGGAAGCGTTTTGCTAGAAAAACACATTTTAACTGGCTTAGTATCTATTTAATTTTAAATTGGTAAAATTTGGACCCAGTAATCTCTGGACCTATCAATAATCTCCTGGTATAAACATTATCTGATTAAGGTAGAAAATAATTGATAAATGTTGAATGTTTCTGTACTGAATGATGTTTCATAAAAATATTTGTTTTGATGCTAGTTTGCTTGACTGGAATGTGCTGTAATCATGATACATATTGAACCTCTTATAACCTTCTCTATATGAGTGCATAGCCTTGATGGAAAATAGAATAAATTAATGTGTTTAACAGGTTTATTATTGTATCAGATATTTTGTGAGTCATTATAGCAATGTCAGCAATTACTGCTATAGTTAAGTACTTGCCAGTATTTTCTTTCCAAATTCCACCTTCCAGGAGTTTCTAACTCACTCATGAAAATACAAATCAGGCTGAAATGTGGTGTGACATTAGGGTAGTCCTGATCCCACTGATGTCAATGCCCAAACTTCTACAGACTTCAGTGGGAGCATGATGAGGCCCAATGTCTCATGGCAACACTTTGCTTTCATTGTGGTTACAAATTGACTACTTGTCCAGCTATTCTTTGCACTTAAAAGTATGTCAGGTAGAGTGGCTCAGAACTTACAGACATCTGTTTGATAGATTTGGTTGATTCATTGTTTACTGTGCTAAGGAGAACAGATTTCAGAAGTACAAACACAGTATTACAAGAGTACATAGACTCCTTCAGTCTCTTTATTTTAGCTATCATGTCCCTGACCCATTGATTTATGACTGAAATACAAGAAAATTCTATGCTATCCTGAAATGTGCTGTAAGCATTTTATATCTCAGCACAGTACAATGTTTCTATAGTGTTTACAATTTCTGGCAGTACCATAGACAGTCAAGTCTGAAAGACAGAATAGAAAATGACTACATAAAACAATAATTGATTGACATCTATAACATTATTGTTTCACACA